GAGATGAATTTTTTTTTCCTGACAAGTAAAGAACAAGGATCATAAAAAGCTGAAACCAATACCATAGTGACTCACTTTTTATCAAGTTAGGAGTTCTAATACAGCAAAAAATCACCAAGTCATTAAGATACAGCCAAAACACAAATTATAAAAAAATAAACAAGCTCATATTCAAACAATTATGTATACCGAATCTTACTCCTAGATGTGATCTCCTGACACAAAATGCAGGTATATAAGACATGTTGGACAAGAAATATGAAAAGTTCTGAATCAATCAATGCTAACAAACTATACCTTACACTTAGGCCATTTCCTGGAACGTTAGATCCACAGCTGTGGCACCTTGTATGTTTAGGACACAAGTAAGGTCCGCTGCTAACATTCTGCGCTAGTACAAATATAATAGTGACATTGCACATTGAACAAGGAAACGCAAAAATTAGGTACTAAACACTCCCTTGCGGACAAAGCAGTCGTAGCACAAGAGGGGGCTTTAGGGGTTCAATTGGAAGCAATTGAAGAAAAAACACCCACCTTGTGTGGAGGCTGCTGACAGTAACAATGGTATGCAGCATCACACCTTTTGCAGAATGTAAATTTATTTGGATCCCCAGTTCTTCGGCAGACCTAGTGTAAATGATACAAGTCATGGAAAGAGTGACAGTGTGAATTTAAAACAAAACCAAAGGTGGCCATTTTCATAGGACTAGTTTGACCTTTGGTAAAAGCACGAAATACAGATGCCAAGCATCATAAGACATCATACATGTTAATTGGATACCAGACAAATCAGCACAACTGAGGTGGTAGGACAGAGTGACATTCAGGAAACTCAACAATCCAAGCAGACAAGGGTAGGCATAAATTCCATAATTGAACCCATCGAGAAATAGATAGCCATGACTCGACAGTGAGAAGTAGCTATCTTATAACATAATAGTCTGAATAAATAAAGGATGACAAGTCAGTTTCATATGGAACCTGCATTGTATGCCATATGGAAAAAAATTGGTTACTAAGTTATACAGAAGGCTTTTTTCACATTTTTCCCTAATAGAATGATTGTATTTTGTTACTAAAGAAGTATATGGATAATTACCTCACAGATCCGACAAGAGGGGCAGGTCCATGAACTCCAATGAAATAGATCTGAAAAATGAGTTTTTTAATCACAAAAAGAAACCAATGCAATACAACATTTGGGCCACGAACCATACCTCTATGTTGAGCCCAAGCTTTCAGGCAGCTTCTGTGATACTTCTTTCCACAACTTTTGCAAGACAACATCGTCCTTGCTCTCTCACTCCCTTCATTTTCACCAGAAAAACATAGCCTGCACATGACTTTGACATTGGACTGACCCTGGTCCTCTCCTTCAAGATCATTGGCAGAGCCCTGCATGCAAATAACAAGTTGATAACTATGCCAAAGCAACATTGTCTTCCTGAATTAACAGAATGACCAGACAACACATAAAGTTATGGGCATGGGCATAGGTAAATGCTGAGATCTTTCTCTAGAAGAGGAATAGAAACAAGGGCAGCCTTTCGGGGGATTTTTTTTTTTTTTTGTTGTGGGGGGGGGTGGAGGTGTTCAGTTGTTTTACCATCTTAATGGGTCAAGTTTCAACTCTCATATACAAGAAAATCGATTTCAATTCCACAAGAATAACAAAATCAATAAAATTACACTGTTAAGCATGTCCCACTAGCAACACTCAAAGCAAAGTACAACAATATTAATTCGTTTGTTTTTAATAGTCATGTATAAGAAACTAACAGCACTAGAAACAATCTACAAAGAAAACAGAACTCAAAATAGGTCAAAATTTTCAGCAAACAGCATTCTTACCATAAAACCTGATACAGCTTGAACTATCAAACTTAAAAACTTGATACCCAAACTCAAAAGGAAAATAAGTTAACAGTTTCATAAAGGAATCAATAGGATAGTCACCAATCAAAACATGGAAATTCTAGTGAAAAGGGGAAACATTCAATATATTACATAAATAATGTACAATCCAGAATGGATATTCTGCACACAAAAAAAGAAAAGCATGGATACTTACTTTGTGAGTCGAAAAGGTGCTAAAGGTAAACATCGTGCAATATAGACAATCAATCTACACAATGTTATTCATCCTCGCACTAATATTTTTCAATCAACAAAAACTATATTTCAATAAACAATTAAAAAGTAGATACATGAAGGACAAGAGATCCTCCAAAAAGTTTCAAAAGAGAAAAGAAAATAATGCAATAATCAGCATACCAAATTACATCTCACAAATAGTTCTACAATCTGTCCTAATCATAAACAAAGGAACTTCATCAAGCTCAAGGGAAATTGAAACCCCAAGGAAGCCAAGAATAGAACCCTTTCCCACGTCTCAATCTCTTCCTTGAACTTTGAAAATACTACATGTCAATGGTGAAACTCCATGCACGGCCACTAAAGAAAACAACATTCTCCAAATAAATCGTTATAATTCAGTTTCTTATATTCAATAGTCCAAGAGAAAATTTGAACATTAAGACTCACTTTGCTTTCCAAATCATCTTTGAAATGACAAAAAGTGTTACACTAGAATCATCAATGAGAAAATCGCAAAAGCTGTTACATGAATATGCCTTGGGAAAAAAAATAAACCACATCTTTCTATCTAAAACTGAATTGTCTTAAAGCGACCCCGTCGAATGTGGAAGCAAGAGATGAAAGTTCAACACCTCTAGGTCATTAAGATTACAAAATAGAAAAAAAAATCCAATTGATAGGAAAAGAAGATGAAAATCATAGACGCAATTGTGAAATTATGAGATCGGGATAAGGGGTACAATTGAGGAGATCGAATTAAAAAAGCAGTCTTTCTCCTCAACCAATTTTTCTTGTTTTGGTAATTGGATATTTTCTCTATTTCCCACAAAAAACATAATATACCAAGTGAAATAAGACACAACCTAAGCTATAGCACCCGATGGATCCCAAGCATTTCCCCAATCAATAACACAAGAATCCAATTCATTTACTTGAATCTCATACTTGTTTTTACCATCCCTTCTTTAAATAGAAGAGAGAGAAAGAAAAAGAAAATATATAATGATTGCGCCATAAGACCTTATTTGTTTCTACTTAATGTTATTTTCCTCGGGTTTTTTACATTAATTACATAAGATAGCTTGCTTACTTAACACTTGCACTAAGGCTCTAATTAGAGTCAAACTTAGATTTGAAAAAGGAATCTTTACCTTATTAGCTTGGAGTACACAAAGACTAGAATCGAACATTGACGAGTTTGGTTGACAACAGTCAAAAGATGGGCACCTAATTCCAATACAATAGGGGCTTATTAGTGCAAGTCAATTGAACACCATGATTGATGAATGGGTAAGTAAGTGGGTTAAGTGCACCTCTCACCTAGTAGGAAGTAGTGGGGCCTTCTTCCCGCGTATGCGCCTTTATATCCGGATTAAAGGAAACTTACACATCCGATTTTTTTTATTTTTTTTTTTGGGGGGGGAGCTCCTATAAGATCCGCCTGCCCAAGGAAGAAAGAACAATCAGGACTATATTCACTTCTATGTTAGGTAGCCTCCTCACTAAACACAAGTAAGAGCTGGATTGTTGAGAATGCGGGGCCCTCCGAAGGACTAGTTTTCTTACATAAAGCAAGACTCCTTTCAACTTTATACCTAGAAACAAGATCCCACTTTACCAGATGATTATTTTTTCCCTCCGCATTCTCCTCCCACACCTACTATCTCATCAACCTGGTAATTCTCCTTGCCACCTTTGAGGAGATTTTAAAGATTAACGCCTAATAAAAAGGAACACTGATATCGGATACAACCGCTTGCCTCAACATCAACCTTCCTCCTTTCAATATCACAAATTTTGTCCATTTATCTAACTTGCCAATTTTTTCAATCATTGGCTTGCAAAATCCTTGAGATCAAGAATTCCTTTTCCAAGGGAAGACCCAAATACTTTATAAGTCCTAATTCCCAAAGAGTGTCCCAAATGCAATATAACCAAATGTACAACAAGTGTATAAAACATGCTCACCACTGTACAATGATTTAGCCCCCCGTGGCCAAATGCCTGAGTATAATTAAAATATAATCCCTATCCTTTCGGCCATTACTACATGCCCACAACTATCACAATCAAAATGAACTTGGGCTCTCTACATCCCAAAAGATACTTCGATAAATTTCCTTTGAACTAAAAGAAGACCAAAATTGGAGAAAGAGATATGAGCGGAGAGGAGTAACTTACTATGCAAAAACATTAGACCATTTCGTTTGATACAGAAACCGTTGGACAAATATCCTTTGAAGAAAGTGCTAGTGTCTTGGAGCACAATGAAAAGACCAATGTTACTCAAAATTAGGGCAAGATTATGGATAACTCTTGGGTAGTTCACCCATTACCCAAGTTGCTGACATCTCTAACATCCACGTATGGTCCAATAACAGTGTTTGAAGAGATATAAACAGTATAATATACGTAATAACACCAAGAAAAATTGCCTTTATCCCTTAACTTGTCTTTAATAATGATATCCACCATAAGCACAATACATTCTTGTTTACCCTTTAGTGCTTTACTTGGGGAACATGTGCACAAAACTTATACTCCAAACGGAATGAGGTTAGGAAGGCCACATGAATCCACTGTTTTCTGATAATAACTATTGCTCACATGCAACTAGCGATAACAAGGTGTCAAGCTTTTAGAAAAATCACATGAACCAGACAAACTTCGGCGCACGAAAACTTCTTGCATATTCATGCCTTGCTCAGTCTAAAATTCTAACTAAGTTTATCCCCACGTCTTGCCAAACACAATGCATGTCGTCTTTGGCCAAAATCTGAACTAGTGAACTACAAGAAAATTTCACACTCTAATTATCCTCCATGCCCCCTTCCCACCCCCCACAACAAAAAAGGAGAACGGAAGTTAGTTACAGCGCATTAGCTGCCAAATCACACATGAATAAATAGCTTAATGGAAACTTCTTGAACGAGAAAATACAGGGTTTTTGTCCTCTAGTTTGCATTAGCAGCAGCCACCTTCTCAATAACATTCAATGAATTTTGACCCTTCTTAAGAGGAGCTTATGATGATTTATGGCTCCCTTACATGCCACATTCCCCTTAACGATTCACGCGATAATGTAATATAGGGCTTTCGCCCCTTGCCCAAGATTCCCACTGCAAGAACATTAATATGATAAGGAAACTCAAAAATCTCAAACGGCATACACTCCTGACTTCACAGATTTGTCGTCAGTCACTCCACAATCCAACTTCAAATCCAACATTCAAACAAGAATAAAATATAAAAAATTTCAAATCTAGATGGAAATCAAGAACAATGTAAGAACAGTAAACCTCACCACCAGATCACCGGACTCGAATCGACGAGCGTAATCCTCCGCCACAATTGACGCCGCAGCCGCTTTCCTCTGGATAGCGGCCCGCTTGGTCTTCGCCGACAACAACTCATCTCCATCACCTCCACCACCGGCGCCGCCTCCATCCGCCACCGCCGGCACAACCGGTGGCGGCGGAGCAACCACAACCTTCGGAACCTTGACCTGTACGGTCCCGTTCTGCTCCCTAGCCCTAATCAACCACGGGTCCTTCAAAAACTCCTCAACCCTAGAAATTTCCTCCACGAATGCATTCCTCGCCTTCTCGCTCTGTAGATTCTTTGGAAACCCTAGCGAGCAGTAGCAGATTCGCCGACTGCAGAGAGAGAAAACACACAGAACACACACTGTAGTGTGAGAAACAAAAACAGAGAGATATAGTGATATATATTGATATAGAGAGAGAGAGAAACGTACCAGGTGATTGGGCAAGCAACGTGAAAGGCCATACGAACATGGATTTGAGAGATTTTAAGCGATCGATTGTTTAGCAAAATGGACTTTATGTCCCAAAAAAAAATATTGGAAATTAGGAAAATAAAGGTAACACGAGACAGTACAGTAAGCTTTGGGAGGAGAGAGACGTAGAAGCGGGTTAGGGAAAGAGAGATTAGGGGCGATGTTTGGAGTTTTTGCCCTTTTTGGATTTGAAGCAATTCACCAAATAGACACGTGAATAGTGTGGGTTTATATTGAATTTTCATGAGTTTGTATTAAAAAAATATTTTATTTATATTTAATTTATTAATTAATTCAGGTTTTATAAAGTGGGATTAACCTGTGGGTCAGTTTATGGATCGATCCGTTGGTCATGGTTCAAAAACAAGTCAACTCGTGGGTTATATAAGTCACGGGTTAATCGTCGATTGACCTCTTTGTCTCTCAGGCTTGATAATCGTATTGAGTTAAACAGTTTCATGTTGGATGAAATGAGTTTGTGTGAAAAAAAACTCTCTATCGATACTCTATTCGTTTATATAAACAAGTTCAAGTATTACACTCATACACCAATCGTTTATTAGATGAGTTATTCAATACAACTCGTGTGTCACTGCTAAATAAGAAAATAAGTTATAATATTTCAAGTTCACACGAAAAATTATCAACTCGGTACATATTACATATGTTTGACCTATTTACTATAACAATAAATTGTGGCTAAGCAAAAAAATAAAAACAAAAAATAAATATTAAATGACTATTTAATTTGAATAAGTGTAAGAGATGGAAGGTGTGAAATGAAGCAGAGACTGAGAGACCTAATTTTTTTTAAAAAAAATTATAGTATCACTGTTAACAGATTAAAATTGGTTGAAACGAGTTTATGAGTTTAACACGAAACCGATTTGTTTATTTCACAGATCTATCGAATCAATCCGTTAAAACTACACTAAACCCGTTAAATCTGTGTCAGGTTCTTGTCGATTTTACAAGTCGTATCTATAATTACTAGACCTATGTGTCGTGTGTTGTGTTGGGTTGGGTCAAATCATGGGTCATGTTGTGTGTATTAGTGTATTTTTTTTTTGTATTAATATGTGTGTATTTTTTTCGTGTATTAATATATTTATTTGATTTATTACTTACGTTATTTAATAAAAATATAAGTACTCAGTCAAATGAGTACTTATTTATAATTCATATTAATTCGTTTAATTAAAATAAATTATATTACTAAACCTATTTATTTATGAACAAATTAATAATTAATGAATTTAAATTGTCACTTTTACCTACCCCGTAACCTTAATATACATTACTCTACTTAGCTCATCATCCGTTAACTCAACGAGTAGAATTGTCTTCAATATCATTTTTCACAACAAATAATTGGTGTTCATTATCGAAAATGTTCACTTTTTGATTTTTAGTGCCCAATTTGAGTTTGATAAATTTTTGTTTACTTTTACATTTGGCTAGTTGTTATACACGTGAATTATTTTGAGATAGTAAAAACAACGTTAGAGATTATGATAAATGCAAATATCTATGAAAAGTTATTTGAATTAAGCCCTTGTTAAACTCTCGAATCGATAAATAACTCTGCCTACACTTAAGTTTATTAAGAATGATCATTTTTTATTTTTTGTCTATTATCTATAATGATATCGACTTGATAATCTCTTATAATTTTCAAAGAGGTTGCAAAACAATCCATAATTTTTTATTTTTTTTTTGTCTTTTTGACAAAAGAGTAATGCTACTTAGGAAAATTCTATTAACTCAATTAGTTATAAGGATTTAGATGTAGATAATGCTTTTATTACAATAATTATTATAAAATTATAAAATAGATTTTATATAACTGGTGGTTAGGAATATAATATAATATTTTTCTTACAATAGTCATTATTAAATGACACAAATAATATATAAAGTCTAAAAGCTAAAAGAATTTAATACAATAAAAGACGATGGAGAATATGAAGATTCAAGTGAAATTAATAATTAATGTATACACTTAAGATGGGAAAGCAACTCTTGGATGAATTGCAAAATTAACTAACTTTATAGTATTAATTAATTAAGCCAAAAATTAAAGTAAGGATTAACTTGACTTTGTAGCATTGTTCAATGGTATATTTGGAAATCAAAAATTTTCATTTTAGCAATATTAGTAGTAGTACTAGCAATGCATCACGTGCGTTGCACGTAAATAATTTTCGTATACAAAAATTAATAATTTTTTTAAATATATGTGTATCTGAATTAAATATTATCTTAAATTTATTAAACTTATTTTTTTATCCCTTATACTTTATTATATAATTATGAAAATTTTGTATGTTCCCAAGACTTTTTGTTCTAACTATAAGAAAATATATTAGAAAATAGTTAGAGTTCTATTGTTTTAGAATTTTGTGATTGAGAGTGATTTTTAGTAATGTTTGAAAAATAAAAGTTTTTGAAATTCATTTGATTAGGATTCCACTTATAATTCATTGAATAAAATAAAAATAATTGTCAATATACTAATCATATTTCGTACTTTACTGTAGTTAGGAATTAATTAGGTATATTTGGATAAAATTTATTGTACTACTTTATAGTATATGTTATAAAGCATATTAAAAATACATTACAATCTATACAACTTGAAAAGTTTACTATAACTGAAAAATTATGCTAATGTAACATAAATTGATTTAAAAAAATTATATATATGATTATTTTTATCTTAAAAGTGAAAGGATTAAACTTTTTAGTGAAAATTGAATGTGTGTGTTTATGTGTAGACACAATGTTATCTTTGCGTATAAAATGAGTAATGTTTAGATTCATTTTTGAAGGATTTTTTAACACTTTATTGAAAATGTTAATGATCCATATATTTTTTAAGGTAATATACTCAATTAAAAATTTTTATAAAAACTGATAATGATACATGGGGAATAGATGACTAAAAGAAATATAAGATGTAATTTGAAAATTTAAATATATAAGGATATATTGGTAATTTAAATATTTAATTAGGAAAGGATAGAGTGGCCTTTACAATGTTTTATAAGGAAAAAAATAGTAAATCAAAAATTTTTCATATTAATGTATTTTTATTAGTAGAATAGGATAGATAAATATAAATATAAATATAGATATAGCTAGATAGCTATAGATATGTTCAATTTTAAATTTAATTTAAATTACATTGACACCCTTTGTAGATTATTATAATTACAGAGACACCTTTTCGATTATCTGCGAATTAACTTGACACCCTCAATTAGGCATTCTCTTTTAACAGGTGTAAAAAAAATTATGTGATTTTATAGAATTACCTTTCCCAGATTTACTATCTCTCTCATTTCCATCCCCACACATACACATGACACTCCACATATAACCCACCTCTTTAAGTGCATTTCGTAGATGTTATTCCTTGACTATATCTCTCTCTTGTGTCACCTGTGATATACCGCCATTCGAACCTTCAACCAGTACTAGACGCATGCGCGTGCACACACACACACACTCTCTCTCCCCCTTTCTTTGAGTTGCATACCATTGTTCAAAACCAATCATCCACACTCATTGAGGCCATTCTACCAACCATCACAAACAACCCACTACTGACCACAAGGTATCACCTCCACTTATGCACAAACACGACGCACCCGCACACATGCACATAACCCTAATATTCCTTATTGCCAATTTTTTGTGGGGTGTTTCTCTAATGTTTATTTGATTTTTGTTGGTCCAAATTACATTAATTTGGTTGTGGCTTTTAAGGTTATTACTATTTATGGGTTTTATTTTGTGGTGGCGATGTGGCGTTATATTTGCAAATATAAGAGAGATAATATTTGGTTGGCGGGTGGGGTGGGGGTGAGAAAGAAATGTGTGGGGGTTAGGGTTTTCATGGTAATGTGGACTTGGATTGATTATTCGATTGCATTGGCATTGGATCTAGTGGCGGATCCACAGTCGGGGCAATTGCCACCACTAGAAGTTTAAAAAATTTTGGGAAGTAAATATAATTTCAAAAATTTTAAAATTTATTAGAATTTTGGCCCACTGAAATTTTTTTTAAAAAAATTTATAAGTAGTTGTGGTATTTTGACAAATATATGGGTCTCACTTATAAATGTAAAAAAAAATCATTTAAAAGCCTAAATGCCTCAATTATATGTTAGACTAAATTATTTTGATTTGGTGGTTTGAATAATTTTATTGTGATTGGTTAAGTAATTCTTATACACAAATTTAGTTTAATAGAATAGTAATTGTTTATGTTTGTTTTGATTATTTATTAAAATTCAACTATATATGATTGAACACAATTTTTTGGTTCAAATTTTTTTGTTAGGTGATTAGGTCTTGTAAATAAATTTATAGTAAGCTCTTTTTGTATAGCTCACATGTATATGGATTACGATTTTAACTGACATTCTATTAATAAAACTATACTTTTGTGAGCATTAATAATTTTAATATTCACATGATTTAGGTTGCCCTTACTGAAAAAAATGTTTGGCTCTGCCCCTGATTGGATCTCCAAAATTTTCATTTACGAATTCAAGGTATTGGTTCAATTTGATGATTTTTATTGAATTTTTGACTATATGATAGGTTGAATTTCAGAATTGATCTTGGATATTTTTTTAGTTTTTGTGTGGCATGTTTTTAGAGATGGTGAAAAAGATAGAGGTGTACAATAGCGGTGCTTGCGGTGGAAGTGTGGGGGTGGAGGAGACTGATTGCCATGGTAATTGTAGTATGAGATTTGGGGTTATGGAATTTATATTGCAATGGAGAGAGAGAGAGAGAGATGCTCGTTTGGGTATAGGGTAGTTTCTCCCAACTTAGGAAAAAGTGTATTAGAGTAGTGGAAGAATAAATATAATTTTACGCAAGGATAATTTGGGTATTCATTAAAAGAAATATGATGATGTAATGACATTTGAGATTTAAGTCACGTTAGTAATTAGGGGTATTAAATGTGTCAGGTTAGGTCATTTCATATCGGGTTGATTTCAAGTTTGTATCAAAAATTTCAAAACCCAAACGTAACAT